GGCAGCTTAGATGGACTCTTCCCTGAGGTGGTGAGTAAAGGGGTTCCCTTGAAAGAAGGTGGCAGAGTGACCCCCACCACACATCTGCTTAGCACCAGTGACATCAACAGCCCCAATGAACAGCTTCGTTTGAGCAACACACAGGCTCCTAGCCAGGGCCACTTGGAAAGCTCTGACCGTTCAGGGAAATCCATTGTCTCTCTCACTCAGCTTCAACTGGCTGGCAACAAAATATTCTATGTCCACACTTCAAATGATGAGATGAAGATGGACAGCTTCAAGTTTCACATGACTGATGGACATAACACTGTTTTCAGAACCTTCAGGATCTTCATCATGGATGTGGATAATAAGAAACCTATCTTGACCATCCACAAACTAGTACTACAGAAAGGGGATAGCAAACCGATCACTCCTTTTGAATTGACAGCTGAGGACAAGGATACCCCAGATGATCTTCTTCTCTTTACCATCATCCAGGTCCCTATCCATGATAGAATTTTGTATAATGGCAGCCATCCTGTTACCACCTTTACCAAACAGCACCTGAACAAGAACCTGATCAGCTACTGGCATGATGGCAGTGAGACCAATGAAAACAGTTTCTCCTTGATTGTGAGAGATGGCAATCACACTGACTTCTATGTCTTCCCAGACACTGCCTTGGAGACATGCAAACCTCAGGTAATGTGGATCCAGATAGGCTCCCTAAACAACAAGCTCCCCCAGATTGTCATTAACAGAGGTGCCCTAGCCTTGAAGCACCTTCATTCTGGGCACATGAGCTTCCTGATTACCAGCAAGTCTCTGAAGGCAGAGGATAAGGATACATCCCACAGGCTCCTGAAGTATAAAGTGACCAGAGGACCAGAGCACGGCTTCATTGTCAACACTGGCCTTGAAAATAAAAACACACAAACGTTTACTCAAGGTTAGTACCTATTGTCCCCTGGGTTCCGCAGTCCCTCTTCTTGAGTGTATCAGTTCTCTGTGTAAAATTGTCCTGACCTGAGACTGTATGCAGAAAGATTTAGGTTCTAACAAAATACCACAGAATGTGAA